TCATTGAATTGTTGTGGGTATTCCAGAAGAGCTCCCAACTCTTTAGTTTCTTGTTTGTCCATAAAAGGATTTGTGCTTAATTTTATGTCACGCCATTGGTTATTTTTCTATAATACAAGGTCGAATAAGTATACTATTCTTGCTACGATCTTCTTATATGGTTTTTCTCTCGAATTTGTTATAATGGGATCGTTAATATATAATTATTGGATCTAAAGCGCCGGTAGTTAAGTATCTTATAGCTATTCTTTGTATCAATCACAGATTCTTGAACCTGTCATCTGGATCTGACGTAGAGTTCAAATTTAAGATGACTTCCTGATAAAACATTATTGTATGCATCTTAATAAACACCTTACGTGCATTGCACGTCCTTTAGCTAGTATATGTGTAAAAAATATGTAATATTCTACACAACATGGAGTCCTCCTTCCCACTACCAAGTTAGTTTCTCCGTAACATGTGAATGCATGGATGTCCTCTAAAACAGAAGTAAAGTTCAATAATTAATTTGTTATAGAAAGAAAAAGGGTGATCGGAGCACAACACTATCGTAATTTAGGTCACTAACAACATTTTTAACTCATATTTTTACTTTTTTCTATTTTTGAATTAAAAATTTAATCAAAGCATTTCTCACGTCACTTCTGAGCCTAACATGACACAACATCACCCATTGGAACTCATAAAAAATGAGTTGACACGATGAGGTAACTTCTCTCTAATGTTAACTGTTTTTTAAGTTAAAACCATGAGTTCACATAAAGTGATTGATGAACTCATAAGTCAATGCGCTACAGAGAAACGTTGTCTAACTAGGTCTCAAGCTAAATTACGAAAAGGTTTTGCCTAGAAAATTAGAATTGATAGTGAGCAAATGAGGTTTTCAAAGTTGACATGACACAAAGATCATAATGCATCAATATTGAACAACCCATGATTATATGCAAATCATGTCAATACCTAGTTTATTTTTTTTGGTTGTCCTATTATTTAAGTTTTCCAATGCTAAAATATATTATCGACCGTAGAGAAATTATCCCATTACTTACGGACAGAGACTATCTACATCCATCATTACACAAATTTCCACTTACTTTTACCCTAATTCAACTTTCACTTGAAAGTGGGTTCAAATTTGTTCATTTAAATAAGAATTATTTCTCCTTTTTTTCTTTACATTTCAATTTTGCTTTATTTTCTATAAAAAAAAAAAGTCATTTTCCCACTCAAATTCTTATTTTCGAGGGGTTTTATTGACAATTTTTTTTCGTGGAAAATATTTTTCAACTTTTGGTTGCGTAACTATATTTTCTTAAAAGATAAGGAAAACATTTTCTTTAGGAACAGGTAATTTTTATTTTTCAGGCCCCCGTCTCTCCCCTCCCTCTCATCTACCCACCAATAAAAAATGGAGAAATATAATATTTTCTAAATTAAAAATTAAATTAATCAAATACATTTAATTAATAATTTTCAGATAAATATGTTCTAAACGATTGAATTGCTTAGGATTTATTTATTTTTCCCATACAAATATCATGTTCCCAATACTAAGTTTTTTTTCTTGATTTGATTTGATTTGATTTTATTCGGATTTATAATTTTTTTATTATTTTTTAATATTTTCAAATTTGTTCCATTTTTTTTCTTTACATATTGCTTCTGAATTATTGTTTTGCAGTCTATTGCTTTGTGATATTTATTTGTCATTGAATTTAAAACCTAATCCCAGCGTAGAAGTAGCGATCCTGTAGGAGAACAAGGGCGGGCAAATCCCTATTATTTCATTTCTTCAACCACCGCCTACCCTCCCAAATTACAGCTGGATAAGTAAATTTACATCGCCGTTGAATGCAGTAAAAAATTGGAGGGATAGATACACGAATCTGAAACTTTATCTGTGTTATTTTCCGCAATTGAATTTGCAATACAGAAAATTAGGGATAGATAATTCACAATTTTGTATCCACTTCTCTACGGATCGCCTTCGTAAATTTTAATCGGATGCCCAGAGATCTCGCTTCAGATTACCTCGCCTCTGATACCTATTCTTGTTTAACAATTGGATGTATCAGTAAAACAATAAATATATAGAGAGGTCGGAATTCGAGGTTAGTATCAGAGTTTTCATCTTTATTTTCACCTTGAATTTATAATTATTCATGCACGGTTTCGTGTTTTTTCTTGTTAATTTGTCTATTTTTGCGTCTAGGGTTTCGTCACCGTGCATTTATTTTTTCTGTTCTTTTTCCTTATTCGCTTCATTCCATGGAATATGGACTACATCTGTAATAAATAAATGCGAATTGATACAAATTTCCTCTTTTAATTTTCTTTTAGGAACTGATATGTATGGATATATTATATTCTAGCGAGTTTCGGAATCAACATCTTAATTGCTTCTGTTGTTGTTTATTCTTTGAAAAAAAAAAAAAA